ACTGTCAGCGCCGCCCCACAGCCGGGATGCGGCGGCGGCGGCGGCGGCGGCGGAGGCGGGCGGGCTGCCGGCGGGGCGGGCCGGGGGCGGGCCGAGGATGGGGTTACCTGGGCGGGTCCAGCGGCGCGGGACAACCCCCCCCCCCCACGGGGGCGGGCCTGAGCCCGCGGGACGGGGCTGCTCCTGGGGGCCTCCCCGGCCCTGCGCCCGGGCGCGCTCCGAGCCCCAGCCCGCTGCAGGCAGTTGGGCCAAGCTAGAGGCGCGGCGACCCAGCTGCTGGGTGTCCGCCCGGGGCCTTAGGGACGGGGCGGGCACAGCTCCCCCAGCCCGCCGCTGCGGGCACTGCAGCGCCGCCCTGGCCGCGCCCCGCGGCCCCCCGCCGGCGCCTGGGAGCCGGGATCCCCGGCCGACCCCGGCAGAGCCACGCCGAGCGAGCGTAGCCGCCGCTCTGGGCCATCCAGCCGCTAGCGCTCAGGGCGCACCAGGCTGCGGTGCCGCCCGGCTGTCCCCGCCGGACCCCTCCTGGCCCTCAGGCCCCTGCTTTCTGCGGTCCGGCCCCTCCCTAGCGCTCACCTCCCTCCAGCCTTCCCGGAGCTGGACAGGGGCCTCCCTACTTCGGGCAGCTTGGGACAGTGGCCTGAGACTCCGGGAATCCGAAACCTCGCTTCTGGGTCGCCCTGGGTTCTGGCTTGCTCCGAGCAGCTAGATCTTGAGTGAACCCCTGCCTTTCTGAGAAGACCTTCTCCTTAGGAACTGGAGGACTGCGGGGGTTTCCTTTGAGCACAGGAACCAGTCCCTGCTTTGTGCTTGGGTTTCTGTGCGCTTCTTTTACTTCTCCCACACCAGGCAGATCCAGCCCTTAGCGTAGTGTCTGGCCCACAGTGGGTGAGTGCCTCGTTTGTGGACTGAACGGAGGAGTGGAGTTACTGCTTTAAAAACCTCTGTCTGGAAGCTCAAGTCAGAATAACTACCTGCGGTGGCCGAGCCACACCCTCTCCAGGTCACAGATACAGTCCATGCTCCTCTGGCTCTTCCTGGGGCTTCGTCCCACAAGCCAGAGGAACCCCCTTTCTAAACAGGGAACCGAGAGCCCAGAGACCACCTCACTAAGAGCAAGGGGTAGAGAAGGGGACCAGGCCTCTGCTCTCACAGAACCGACTGTTTTCTCTGCGTGGCTTTGGCTGCCCACCCCCACCGCGGCCGTGTCTCACTCCAGGAGTTGTCCGGGTTAACACAGGAGGGGCCTGATAAGCATTTGGCACGGAGACCGGGCGGAAGGTGGTAGAGATCCGTAGAGCCCGGCAAAAGTGCAGATGCGAGTTCACGTACCGCATGTCTAAATATTTGCAGGTTATAAATCAAGCTAACAAAATGAGGAATAAAATATGTTCTAGTCTGCTCTCACAAACACGCTTTCACAGTAACCTACAGGGCTGCTCCGGGTGTGGGGTTCTCACACTGCATGGATTCTATGTGGTGCAGCAGCAAGGGGCAGTGAGAGGGACCCTGGTGCCCGGCCCTGGGCCTCACCTTTTCCTACCTCTGCCTCTCCTGTCCTCGGGGTACTCCTGTACACACACACACACACACACACACACACACACACACACACACATCTCAGCTTGCATAGACAAACTGCGTCTCCCCTGTGCTCTCCACCCCAGCCCTCCACCCACTTGAAAGCTGATTCTTGGCCATTTCTCAGCCTTAGGGCTAGACACACCAGCATGTGGCCGGTCCTCTCAGGTTGGAACTGGAAGAGAGAGTCACCTATCCTAGCAGCAAGAGTCACCTGTGCAAGGAAGTCTAGGGGTCTGGAGAGCCAGAGTGAGACCCAGGGAGGGGGATTCAGGCTCCGGGTGAGCACATCCTGTAGGCCCTTCTCTCCCTGTGTTAAGAGTGGGTGAGCTAGAGGAGGGCCAGACTGGGATGTTCAGGGCAGAGCCACGCTTAGGTCTAAGGCTGGTGAAGAATTGCTAAGCTATTTTGAGCCACTCTGGAGACCCAGTGTAGGAAGGGAAATAATAAATAATTTGAGCAGCAGTATTCATTTACTTTAGGGTGCCTATTATACATAGTTCCTTTCCAAATCGAGACATTTATGTTCTAAGGCTTTTTTGCTGGTGTTCTACATCTAAATCTTTACAAATCTTTACGTTTGTTTATTTCAGTTTTATCTTCAAGTTATGTACCCCTATGCGGGCATGCACACATAAGGTAGGTACCCAAAGAGGCAACAGGCCCCCAAATCTCCCTGGGAGTGGATTTCTAGGTGGCTGCAATCTGCCCACAATTGGTGCTGGGAATTGAACTTAGGTCCTCTGCTAGAGCACTGCTAGAGCAATCCTAACTGCTGAGCCAGCTCTCTAGCCCATTATTTATTCATCTGTATGTGTGTATGTGCGTGGGCGTGCGTGCTGGTAGGGCGCTCCTGTAGGTCAGAGGACAACTTGTAACAGTTGGTTCCCTCCTTCCACCATTAGGTTCCGGGATCAAACTCAGGTCGTCAGGCTTGGCAGCAAGGGCCTTTACCAGTGAGTCCTCTTGCTGGCCTGCAAATCATGACATTTAAAATTAGTCATAGGGACCCCTAACCAGAAGATTTGCTGGGGGACCAGGCACAAACCAGGACCGTGCCAGGCAGCCTCGGATGTGTAGTTCTGAGCTCCTGAGTTCTTGGTACCAGGTACTGTTCTGAGGTCTCTGCCTGTGTTTCCACCAAAGCCTTGCAACACAGATCCCAAAGTGACTGCAGTTACTCCCCCCAGCTTTACAGAGGGGGAGGTGGCAAGACAAAGCAATAGCTCTGGCAGTTAGGAATTTGGGCTTGAACCTACTGTGGACATCCAGTGGCATTCCCTGCCCCCCTACTCCTGAGTGTTGGGCTAGGCACCCTGCCCGGGGCAGTGGGGTGAGTGAGCCCCGTGAGCTGGAAAGAGCTTCCCCAAGAGAGGAGGGTGCTGGGGCCAAGGCCCAGAGGCTCGCCCTGATCTGTGATAAGGGAGGGGAAGGCCTCCTCTGAGTCAGTGGAAAGCTTACTGGGAAAAATCTCTTTGAGGAAGTGTGCTCTCCTAACTTTCGAGACCCGTTCAACCGTGAAGATATAAACACAAACTAGTTAAAAAGTTCAATTGACAGTTGCTCTTCAGTATCAGTGGCAGCCATTGTTCAAAGGGCTTTACCTCCATGAACTTTTTGTTTGTTTAGTGGTATTGGGGATGGAGCTCAGGGCCTCACACATTCTGGACAAGTGCTCTACCACTAAGCATTTTGTGTGTGTGTGTGTGTGTGTGTGTGTGTGTCCATTTGGAAACCAGAGGGCGACTTCAAGTGTGCTTTTTTTGGGGAATGTCATCTACTTTATTTTTGAGACAAGGTCATTTGTTGTCCTGGTCAGACTAGTTTGCCAATTAGACTAGATTGCCAAGCTAATGAACCCCAGGCATCCCCTGACTCTGCCTCCCCAATACTGGGATTTCAGCTGTGTGTCACTGTGCTTGGCTTTTTCTTTTCTTTTTTTAAAACAGAGTTCTGGGCATGGAACTCTGGTCCTCTCCGAGCGCTTTAATGGCTTGAGACCGACCTTGCTCGCACAGTCAGAGACAGCCACTGCCAAGGCTTCTGCCTCTGTTTGCTTGGTGAAGTTGGAGATTGGACTCAGGTTCCTGCATCTGGAAAGTATGCTACCCCCGAGGTGCAGTCTCAGCCCTGGAGCTAGATACTGTTAGTCACCTGTGCAGGGGATGAGGCCCTGGTCTAAGTTTCTTTAAGACAGGCCTATAACTACCATTTCTGTTTGGATGTGTGAAGCTTGGTTTGTCACCTCCTATGGCCAGCAAGTGCCATGGAGTTCAGAACAGCTTTGACATCCTGGTCCATACGTGAGGGTTAGTGTCTGTCTCAGTCTAGAAAAGGGAAGGCTGGTGAGTATGTGTGGGGCACGTGTAGGCCCTTTCTGGAAGTTACCCCTAGTTCCTGAGGCCTGAGGTGTTGCTAGTTGATGCTATAGCACCTCTTCATTTTTAGAGCACTGAGCGCCCTCCTTTAACAGGACATGTGCCTTCTCCTTCCCTTACTTTCCACATGACCCATAAATATACTTATTTACTTTTTTTTTTTTCTCTTTCGAGACAGGGTTTCTCTGGGTAGCCCTGGCTGTCCTGGAACTTATTTTGTAGACCAGGCTGGCCTTGAGCTCAGAGCTCCTCCTGCCTCTGCCTCTGTCTCTCAAGTGCTGGGGTTAAAGGCATGCGCCACCATGCCCAGCTACTTATTTTTAATAAGACTGAACTGAGGCCTTTATGCTATGCCAGACAAGTGTTATGTCTTGGAGTAATCCCTTTTTATTTTTGATTATTTTATTTTTAATTATGTGTATGATTGGGTATAGCACATGAATGCTGGTGCCTAAGGAGGCCAGAGGTGTTCAGTTCCCTAGATCTGGAGTTACAAGCAGTTGTAAGCCATCTGATGTGGGTGCTGGGAACCGAACTTGCTTGGGTTCTATGGTTCTTTTTTTTTTTTTTTTTTTTTTTTAGTTGTATGGTTCTTAACAACTTTGCTTTCTCTCCAATCTACCCTTTTGTATTTAAATTTTGAG